AGACGAGGAAAAGAAGAGAGCTCAGGTGATCACACAATGCGACCTATGAGCCTCCAAAAGGTGCTGGGTTGACAGCGTGTCGACAGTCACCTGCGCCCCACCGGACCACAGAATACCAATTATTCTAAGAGGACCACACCCATCAGCCTTACATCCAACAAAATTCGCTTTTTGCTCGCGCCACTCATAAGAGCATTTTTTTTTCATCTTTTTTTGAGACAGTCTCATTCTGTCACCCCAGGCCTGCGTGCAGTGGCACAACCTCAGCTCACTGCAGCCTCTACCTCCCAGGTTCAAAGCAATTCTCTTTCCTCAGCCTCCAGAGTACCAAGATTACAGGTGCGCACCAATATGCCCCGCTAATTTTTGTATTTTTAGTAGAGACCAGGTTTCGCCATGTTGCCCAGGCTGGGATGTCTCAAACTCCTGACCTCAAGTGATCTGCCCACCTTGGCCTCCCAAAGTGCAGAGATTACAGGCATGAGCCACCATGCCCAGCCAGAAGTTATAATTTTTGTAACTACACACTTCTTTTTGTATGTGACAGGTTATCACTTCCATCGCTCAGGCTGGAGTGCAGCAGCATGATCACAGCTCACTGTAGCCTCAAATTCCTGGACTCAGGTGATCCTCCTACCTCAGCCTTCTGAGGAGCTGGGACTACAGGAATGTACCACTATGCCTGGCTAATTTCTTTTTATATTTTTAGTAGAGACAGAGTTTCACCATGAGTCCAGGCTGGTCTCAAACTCCTGGGCTCAAATGACCTGCTCATCTCAGCCTCCCAAAGTGCTGGGATTACAGGCCTGAGCCACCATGCCCAGTCACTGCAGTCTTTCATGAGCCAAATATAACAGAAAACACTTTGAAATGCCAACATAAGTTGAGCTGATGCATTACAAACCAAATTTTGTCTCTGTGTTTCCATGACATTTTCCTACAGTTTACTAATTCAACCCAACAGACATCAGTTAAAAATATCAACAGACTGTGAGAATAAGACATTTCAATACTAAAAAAGTTATGTTGCATTTGAACATCGATTTCTGAAGAGTTTTAAAGTAAAATGCATATGTTGTATTAACATTAACAAAACTTACACATACATGTTGTATTAACGTAAGAAAAAACCCTGGATTTTCTGCCAACTAGTGTCAGATAACTAGTGCTTTCTTTCTCATATATATTTTGTGTCCACTAAAGATAAATCATCTACCAAGATTATTTCTCTACTTTATTTAATCTCTAATTTTATACCTGACTTAAGAGCAACAACAATTATAAAATTCAAACACTGCAGAAGGAACCCACCACTAGCCACCCACTATCCATCACAATTCTATCAGTGTACCCTGCGTACCCAAGACAATAGCTATGCTTACGACCAGGATTCTAAAATTTAGTTTTATCTGCCCACGCAACATGAAGCCATTTCTTCACATGTACCATTATAGCTTTCCGCCATACTAAGAATACAAACTAACATTTGTATACTTTCAAGTTTACAAAGCATCAATTCCACTTACCCACAGTATCACCATAAAAAGGCTATGAGAAAGTATAGCTCACTGTTATCATGCTCAGCCCCAATGTACAGAAGAGGAAAATGAGGCTTAAAGAGGTCAAATGACTTACCCTAGGTTACCCAGCTCATAGCAAGCATAGACAAGGTACAAATTCTGACTTTCAGCACACTAGGGATTGGGGGCAGTGGCTCAGGTCACTGCTGTGGCTCACTCTGTGAGGCCGAGGCGGGCAAAATGTTTGAGCCCAGGAGTTCAAGACCAGCCTGGACAACAGGGCGAAACGCTGTCTCTACTAAAAATATAAAAAATTAGCCAGGCATGGTGGCACGAGCCTGACTTAAGTCCCAGCCTGGGAGGCTGACGTAGGAGAATCACCTGAACCCAGGAAGTCAAGGCTGCAGTGAGCTGTGATCACCCCACTGCACTCCAGCCTGGGCAATCAGAGCAAGATCCTGAGAAAAAAAAAAAACGAAACCCGTATCAGCGTAACAATGAATGTGTTTAATGTTAGCGCTAGATAATTCTTGGGGTTACCTTTTCAGTTTCTAAAGTCTCCACATGAATGCCTTTCGGATACCTAAAGAAAACAAAAACATGGTATCAGTAGATGAGTCAATGACAGCTAAATCCCAAAATATTTTATAAGCAACCATCCAGCTATAAATTAAGTAACGTAAGTTTTATTAACTATGAAATAATTATCACTACAATGAAGACTTCACAGCACATTTATTTTATAACGTTTCAGCTGCTAAATGTTTCCTTACCCTTGCTCGTAAACACATAAACATGGATTTGACTTTCAAATTAATTTTTTTAGGACTTAGGCATTTTCTTTCTTTCTTTTTTTTTTTGAGATAGAGTCTTGCTCTGTCGCCCAGGCTGGAGTGTAGTGGCGAAATTTCGGCTCACTGCAAGCTCCGCCTCCTGGGTTCACACCATTCTTCTGCCTCAGCCTCCAGAGTAGCTGGGACTACAGGAGCGCGCTACCACGCCCCGATAATCTTTTGTGTTTTCAGTAGAGACAGGGTTTCACCGTGTTAGTCAGGATGGTCTCAATCTCCTGACTTTGTGATACGCCCGCCCTGGTCTCCCAAAGTGTTGGGATTACAGGGGTGAGCCACTGCGCCCAGTCAGGACTTAAGGCATTTTCTAAAATGTCCTACATCTCAAAATACAGTCAACTCATTACCAGAGTCAAATCTTTCTTCCAAATATAAAAATGTTTCCTAACTGAAATTGTGAAAGTCTTATTTTATTTATTTATTTATTTTTTGAGATGGAGTCTCACTCTGCCATCTAGGCTGGAGAACCGAGCTGCAATCTTGGCTCACTGCAACCTCTGCCTCCCAGGTTCAAGTGATTCTCCTGTCTGTGCCTCCCAAGTAGCTGGGATTACAGGCATGTGCCACCATGCCCGGCTAAATTTTGTATTTTTAGTAGAGATGGGGTTTCACCATGTTGGCCAGGCTGGTCTTGAACTCCTGACTTCAGGTGATCTGCCCACCTCGGCCTCCCAAAATGCTAGGATTATAGGAGTGAGCCACCACACCCGGCCTGAAAGTCTTTTTAGATTGCACGGGGCATATAAAGAGGAGGTTTTAGATGGTCAAATCTGCTGCAGTTTTGCATGGTATTAACAGTTTGCATCAGCCAACGAGAAGGATGTGGAATGCAGGTGGAGTAGGCTGCAAGGATGACATGACAGGAAAGGAGTGTGGGCAAACTAAACAGCCCTTTCCTATTGTGTTCAAAGTATATTCCCAGTATACATGTCACCAGTAGATTCCAATGGAAGAACAAGGTCCCCAAAGTCAAATGGAAATGTCCACCTGTCTATGTCAATGTTCAATTTCTGAATTGAAGACCCACCTGCAAACACAAGGAAACCAAGGGAAACATCCTTGGAAAAATACACACACAAACGTCTGGATGTTATTTCAGGGGATTCACAGACCTCCTGAAACCCATCCATAGTCTCACCCTAAGTTAAGAACTCTTGCTTTACCAAAAGCATCTGAGTATTTCCTAGGTCTGAAAACCAAATATTCATTGTATACCCCCAAAGGACAAAAACACTACCAATCCATAGCTTAATGGATGCACCAAAGTGATAATTATTTTAAGAAGCCTTAAAGCATCTGTTAAAAAACAGTAACAAAAGAAAATTAAGTGAGTATTCAACTTAAGAAAGCAGGGGAACTTGGTGGGGTCAAATCACTGAGAACCGCAGAATTTCAAAAAGGAAATGAGAGCTAAGAAATTATATTTAGTCTTTAAATCCTGGGTCCCCCAAAGAGCTCCTGCATACAATATAAATACTTACTTCCAACTCAAAGTCTGATAAATTAGTTTTCTTTGGAACCTATAAAAACAAAAAAAAAGGTATTGATTTTGGTTCATTAGAAGTAAATCCAAACTGATCAAGCATTTGTTGAGAAGGATTTCATTTTAAAAAGAGACTTCATTAGAACTGACAGGTAATTTGCAAACAAAAATAGGCAGGTTATTTGACGTGGGGGGAATTCCTCATCACTTGTCTTCTAAAATTTTCTTTAATATTATACTGCTTTTATTGAAGAGGTAGAAGTTCTTGTCTAATCAAAATATTGCTTCCTGCGGCTGCATAAAGAGAGTTTAAAGTAGACAGATGCATTAAAATACTTTTGTGAAGCTCCTCACAAAGTAAAAGGAAAAAGACAATCACGTTACTAACTCTTTGAAATGCTAATGTTTTTTAAATGCAGAGAGAAATTAAAAGGGTAGAAGTAGCCTGAAAGTGAATTCTTTCTTCTGAAGCCTTCATGTACTAAGCACTCCTCAAGGCCAAAGTAATTATGCCACTCTTGGGCATAACTGAAAGTCAAGGTTGCACAACAGTTTTCTCCGCTCCAGGTATAGGACAAAGCATTCATTCAGTGTCTCAGTATACACAGTCATCCCCACTGTGTAACGCTAAAGTTAGTGCTTAATTCTTGAGAACATACCAATAATAATAAGACCCTTTATAAAAGTGTTTTGAAAAGACTAGATGCATCAAATGCCACAAATCATCTACCTTTCTGAAAAAAGAACACGCAGAAATGTTCAGGACAACTAACCCGGTACATGGCTCTAAATCCAAGTTCTTGTTTTCTTCACTTTGTAATAAATCTTCTATTTTCTCTCTGAAGAATTAGAATAGACCATGACCATCAGTACCTTTAAGGAATTAAGTCATCAACCAAGAAAATAATCACAACCAAAAACAGTCTAAATATAAGAATGTGTGACAATGTAATTCTACCAAATTACCCTATAACTTTTAGTTCAAAGACTTTTTAAAAAATGCTTTATTTTGACCTAGGCATAGAATTCCAGCACTCTGGGAGGTCGAGGTTGGGGGGGATCACTTGAGCCCAGGAGTTCGAGACCAGCCTGGGCAATATACTGAGAGTCCCTCACTACAAAAAATAAATGTTAAAAATTAACTGAGCATGGTGCAGTGTAACTGTGGTCCCAGGTACTTCAGAAGCTGAGGTGGGATGATCGCCTGAGCCTGGGAAGTTGAGGCTGCAGTGAGCTGTGATCACGCCACTGCACTCCAGCCTTGACAACAGAGTGAGACCCTGTTTCAAAAAATAAATAAAATGAAACAAAAAAAGCTTTATTTGGCATATTTTTGGGGGAAGAGGGTTACTGCTGTTATTAATTAGTGACAACTTCTCAAGGACTCGTCAGTACAAGTGATTTAATTTTTGACTTTCCCAGTAAAATGGTTACACCAACAACTAAGCTAAGCAAGACCAGACACTTGTCCAAGATCATATCTGCTTGTCAGCCCCTTTACTGCAAGCAAAGAGAACATGGACATGCTGCAAGCTGGATAAGCCTGATCCACTACTCTGCCTTCAAGGACATCCGACAGTGGCTGTCAGGTATTCAGTACATGCAAGTTTTAGAAGTCAGCTGATTAGCATTTAAAAAACAAGAAAAGGGGCCAGGCAATGGCTCAGGCCGATAATCCCAGCACTCCGGGAGGCCGAGGCAGGAAGATCCCTTGAGCTCAGGAGTTTGACACCAGCCCAGGAAACACAGTGAGATCCGTCTCTATTTAATTTAAAAAAAAAAAAAAAGTCCATGCAGGTCTGCCCATATACTGAAATCTCGTGCCTAGTGACATGTAGCAAGTCCAAGTACAATACATGGAACTCTATTTACAATTTGTTGCTGTTGCACAAATTTGAATATGCCGGCTAGGCATGCTGGCTCACGCCTGTAAGCCCAACACTTTGGGAGGCTGAGGCGGGCGGATCACTTGAGGCCAGGAGTTCGAGACCAGCGTGGCAAACATGGCAAAATCTCGGCTCTACTAAAAATATAAAAATTAGCTGGGTGTGGTGGCGCACACCTATAATCCCAGCTACTCAGGAGGCTGAGGCACAAGAATTGTTTGAACCTGGGAGGCAGAGGTTGCAGTAAGCCAGGATTGTACCATTGCGCTCCAGCCTGGGCAACAGAGCAAGACTGTCTCAAAAATAAAACAAAAAAAAATTTTTTTTAATATGCCACAATTACATCCTGCCATTCACAACGTCACACCTGTGTGTGTACTATGTTTGCAAAGCAGAGGTTGGAGATACACATGCCTGTCATGCCCCAATATACAGCACACAATGCATGCTTAGTTTTAGTTTAGGAACTTACACCACTTGGTCAATAAACTTCTTTTGATCCTCAGGAATCGTGACAGGACATTTTGAAGTGTTAGGAGATACGTAGGACAGAGCTCCTGCACCATTCGCCTGTGAACGTTTTTCATCATACTGCTCTCTTAACTGTCTTTCTTCTTCCTGATTTAAATATGGAATTCCTAAGCATGATTTTAAAAAGAACACATTAGCAGAAGTAACTGTCTAACATAAAATTTGTTTAACAAACCAAAGAGTCTAAATTACTCAGGAAAGATTTACCATATTTAACTACATCTCAAAAAATGAACAGAAAGGCAAGTGATTTTGAAATGTGTTTATCATTCATCCATTCATTCAGTCTTCTTTCAAGAAATATTTATCTGGCACTTATGCTTTGCCAAAGCATTATATTAGGCACTGAGGAATGAACAGTGACAAGCTGATGCATCCTTCTCTGAAGGGAACTACTTCTGACAAGATAATCAGGAAAGTAAGGGAAAACCCAAAGGATGAGAATAATTCGGATATGAAAGGAGCTAGGGGAAGAATCCTTCGGGTAGGGGAACAAGTATGAATACCCAGAAGATGGCAATGGCTTGGACTGCTCCAGGAGCAGCAAGGAGCTGGTGTGGCCAGACGTCATGAGCAAAAATGGAATGGTACAGCATCAGATTGGAGAGAGTTATGGAGCAAGATTCTGCAGGCCCTCACAGGGTAAGAAATGCACATTATTCTAACAGTGACTGGACAACATTAGAAGATTTTAAGCAAGATAATTACCCTACCTGCATAATGCTTAAAAGGCCATGACAACTACTCTGAGAGTGGAAGTTGGGAAACAAGTTAGGAGCAATTATCCAGGCAAGAAACAAGAGCTGGATCAGAGGTCAGCAAATTTTTTCTTTGTTTTGTTTTAAGACAGAGTCTTACTCTGTCACCCAGGCTGGCGAGCAATGGCACAATTTGAGCTCACTGCAACCTCTGCCTCCCAGGTTCAAGCAATTCTTCTGTCTCAGCCTCCAGAGTAGCTGGGATTTACAAGAGTGCGCCATCACACCAGGCTAATTTTTGTATTTTCAGTAGAGACAGGGTTTTGCCATGTTGGCCAGGCTGGTTTCGAACTCCTGACCTCACTGCCCGCCTCAGCCTCCCAAAGTGCTGGGATTACAGGTGGGAGTCACTGCCACCACGCCCGGCCAGCAAACTTTTTCTTAAAAGGCTTGATGGTAAATGTTTTAGGCTTGTGGGCCATGGGGCTCTCTGTTGCAATACTCAACCCTGCTGTTGTGGCACAAAAGCAGCCATACACAGAATGTACATGTACAGGCATAGCTGGAGTCCAACAAATCTTATTTACAAAACAGGGAGCAAGCAGTGGGCTGTCGTTTGTAACCCTGGCGTTGACTACAGAGATGGCAGGGTAGATGGAGACAGTGATTTTCAAGACATAAGAGGTAACATTTACTGATAATCCTGGAGATGAAGGATAAAGGGAAAGGCAAAATCAGGAAAAACACCTTGCAGCCGGGCGCAGTGGCTCATGCCTGTAATCCAACCACTTTGGGAGGCCAGGGAAGGTGGATCACGAGGTCAAGAGATGGAGACAATCCAAGCCAACATGGTGAAACCCCATCTCTACTAAAAAATACAAAATTTAGCTGGCATGGTGGCGTGTGCCTGTAGTCCCAGCCTACTTGGGAACTGAGGCAGAAGAATTGCTTGAACCAGGAGGCAGAGGTTGCAGTGAGCCGAGATCATGCCACCGCATGTCAGCCTAGTGACTGAGTGAGACTCTGTCTCAAAAAAAAAAAAAAACCTTGCTCTTTGTGTTCAAGCAATTGGGAAGATGGTAGGGCCACTAACTGACGTGAAACAAAGAAGAGAAAAAATAGGTATTGGGTCCAAGGAGTGAAAATCAAAAGCTACCTTTTGGACATACTTTTTTTTCTTTTTTTTTTTTTAGGACTAAATCTTCTCTT